AGTCCAGCTTCCCGAAGTCCCACTATACGACCCCTATCAAACTCACTAAGTTGACGAAATCGTACAGATCTCCGTACTCCGATGTCAAGAACCAAAATCCGCCAACGTTGATTCTTTACTGCGGCTGAAATATTCATTTTTAGAGCGTTAGTGAATTAAAAAAAAGCAGTATAAAAACCGGAATGTCCAACTGATAAGGCTGAAAATTTTTTCACTTGTTATTTACAGTAAGATAAATACACCAACTTTTATTAAAATAAAACCATTTAAACTGGGTGTTCGGATTTATATGTCACTTAGTATACTTAATTTCTTATTTTGAAATGAAAAATTAGGAAGTAATGTTTAAGAAAACAAGACATAATTTTTTTAAGGTACCCTCTGCTTGTTATTTTATACAACTTCATAGTTGCATTTTTGGTGGTAATACCATATAAAATACCGTTTTATATGCTGTTTTTTGTTTGCTTTTTGGACAAAAGGATGCTCTAGATTATAACAATATATATGTAACATACACTGTACAGTACTAAGAAAAATAGATGTGAAACTGTGAAAAATCTTTGTTTTTTGCAAAAAAAAAGTTTCAAAACTAGCCGTGTTATTACACATTAACTTACTAACTAAAATAACAGTTCAAAATACATACGTAAATAATGGTATTTACTTGGTAAACTGTGTAGAAGTCTTGTGATGATGATTTTTTCGCGTATTTTCAATGGGATCAAAGTTTTTGCGTTTATAAGAAATATTTGTGCAAGCTTACGAAATATCTCAAACACATTTTTGCATGCGAGTCCAACCCTGTAGCACACAAAACCTTTCCAGTAGGTTCACGAGGCTGCTTAGTGTCACTCAGCGCTACGGCCCTTACGCCTGTTTACGTTATACATTCCATTCCTTCTCTGGGTACTTGTTCCCAGGATAAACTTTGTTAAAGATGCGGGCGTGGATGGCGATACAGTTCAATTATTGCGTGGAGGAGATCGCTTCGCAGACCAAGTAGTGCGCTTTGTGAACTTGATTACAGTGTTGATGTGCTATTGGGTGTAGTGTTTTGGTTACGTGAAAGGTGAGCAATCACTGAGTGTTTCCTTTATTCTACTGTGCTGCATGGATTGATAACCATAATACTTTTATATTCATGATCATAAATGTCTTAAGCCATGTTAAAGATGCTATACTGTTTACCTTCATAATTGAACTTATGGCTTACGACTTGTTATTGAATATCCGCGTGTGGGACACCTCTAGGTTCTGGGGGTTGTTATGGGACTTTCGGAGCCCGTTTGCTGGGTTGAGGTAGTTATGTTACTTCCTGCTCGGTTTCCTCTACCACGGTGGCCTTTGGCCGAAGTGGCGTCCTAGGTCTGAATGACCGCTTAACTATATTCTCTTGGCAATCGCTGGAGTCTGAATGTATCTCATGGCAGGATGTGTGAAGGAATTGTTCCTTTAATGATAGTCGTATTGCTCGATTACCTCTGATTCAGGGGTAACGTTGGAGCTTTGGGGTATTGACACAACGGCCCTTGGCCAGCGTGATATCCCGGTTCCTGAACTGTCTTTTTGTAACAATCGTTAAACTCGGCACGTCTGACCATACACCTAGCGACCAAAGAGTTAGAGTTTCTCTGTGTGACAACTCCGAGTTAGTCTGTGTGACGACTCCTAGTCAGTCTGTGTGACGACTCCTAGTCAGTCTGTGTGATGACTTAGTGATCAGTCTGTGTAACGGTCCGGATTAGTCTGTGTGACGATCCCGTGATTCAGTCGATGACGAATCCATAGTAGTAGTTGGGGTACATTAATGTAATGGTAAATAGTAGATTTGTGCATGTGATGTCATTAGTCGGTTGAATACGGAGATACTCATAAGTCGTTTTCTAAAAATAGGCTCCGACAATCCGATCATATTGCCCTTATCGCTTGCCAAAGGAGGATAATTCGTTGTCGTTCCGTCATCAAGTAAGTAACTTTAATATTACCCTGACATTGTTGCCCATATCGAATTGTTTACGTACTGCCCATGTAGTAAAAATGAAATGGTACGGGGAGGTACTTCGGAATCTTCTAAGACGAGATGTTTTCACGTTTATTGTTATATTGCTATTATCATATTACGGTTCGTATCCTACATTTGAAAGTACAAACAATTCTCAATGGCCATTTTGTAACGGTCATTTCTTGACAGATGAGATAAATGATGTTCATCATTGCCAAGTTGTATCTTTTTTGGAGAAATACGTAATAAAAAATGCGGTTATTTGCAAAATAAAGTCTTAATTTAATTGTAAATGACTTGTTTCATGAAAATTTTGAACAGTATGTGTCTAAACAGTGGAAAATGCACCAGCAACTCGCGTGACGTAAAAAATACAAAAGTCACCAAAGGTTATAACAGATAAAAATACCCAACTTCGATTCGTCGATTTGGATAACGTCGCCAGGTCCACCCAACATATCATCGCCCAACATTATAGTTAAATAAAGATCAACGATCATTCAATGTTCTTTGTTATGTTTTCATTATTTAGTGATTGGCAACAGGGTACTTTTTCGATTATTTCTCATATACTTCGAAGTTGAGTAATGTATTTTAACAGTGAGTAGATCTGATCAAAAGAAATGTTTTTTTCCTTTAACATTTTTCTGGTAAAATTAAAGTAACAAAGTTATAGCCCTTTAGAAGTTTGAGTACCGCCCTGTCTCAATAATAATATTATGTGCTCGTGTTTGGAAACAACGGATATAATCCGCCTTATCGGTTCATCGCATCGGAAACAAAAAAGCTAAAGAATTTGAAACGTTTATCACGATGTTTTTCGTCAGTCGGTAACGCGTAAGTGAATAGTGGTGTTTGTTGCGTGACTCAAACGAAATGAAAAATGGCATATGTTTACGAAAATGCTGAACTTGTGGACATGATTCTTATTTACGGGGGGGGAGTCTTTACCAGATTTGTGCGGATCGGTTTCCCAATCGAGTGCAACCAACCCCTCGTGCCTTTGTTAATGTAGTACAAAGGGTGAATCAGGTGACTTAAGACCTCACAGGCCGGTGCTCCAAGACCGCACGATCAAATACAGGGCCGCACTAAAATACTTGTCGGGAGGATACTTTATAAAACAAGGTAACATTTTTTTTTATTTTTTTTTTATTTTTACACACATATTTTGGTTTAACTTCCTTCTACAATCATTATCTGAAAATTAATGACTCAACTTCAAAGTCACCCTGTATATCACATTTAATTAGGTATATTTTGCGACATCAGCTTCACTTTAAATAATTCTTCAAGTACAAACATACAAAACGTTCTATAATACAGGAAAAACAAGTACTTTTGTGAAGGGCATAAGGCATTTTTCAAAAAGGTCTTTAGCTAACGCTATAGTGGGGCACGAGGTAGATTTAGTACAGTAAAACCTGCCGGCCACATCTCCAAACAGCATTTTCTTGACAATCCTGTGCCGATTGCACATTTTTGCGCTAGTGTATGAGTAAGAATTTGACAAACCTAATTAAGGTATATTACTATCTATGATTTGGCAACATCGCAACTACTTGGAGAGAGTATGATAGTGATTGTGGTGTAGTGATGGGAATATTTTTCCGAAATGAAAAAAATTACTTAACAATGAACTATTATTTATTATTAAAATAATGCAAAATTGCATTATTGAGATGAACAGTGTCACAGTAATTCACAGTGTATGTTATATTCATATAATTTTGAGCAATCTCTTGTGTAGACAAGAAAGAAATGCAACTTTGAAGTTCTATAAAATAGCAAGCAGAGAGTTCCTTAAAAAATGATATTTTCGTGCAAATTACATCCTAATCTTTCATTTTAAAATAAGAAATGAAATATTTGCGATATGCGCTAAAGTATAGTTCAGCCAGATATGCAGAGGTGGAAGGTTTATCGGACCTAAGCAAACCTATCTAATCACGATTTGATTTCGCCTTTTGTAACGATTTGACTCAACCCTTTTCTTTAAAACTCCCAACGAAGGCGTAGGAGGTATGGAGTCAAAGTATTTCACACTATTTTTTGAGAGGAAAACCATCGCTATTTCCAGATAATAAAAATGATTCTAAATCATTGATTCCCAAAGTGGTCTATATCGACCGCTAGGGGTCTATGACAACCTACAAGGGGTCTACGTCAGCGAAAAAAAATTTGGGGGTCCATGAAATGAATATGGGGGTCCACGATAGTGGATCTCAACACATACACTGATAGTACCTATTTACTTACATCATACTATCTTATAATATCAAAACATATACATTATTTATAAAAGTACCTATGAACTAAAAAATTTATTATATATGTTTATAAAATTGTGTAAGTTATAGGATGTTGGTATTCGCTTTGTGGTCGCAATACATTTTGAACTTGTAAAAACCTGAGAGTCGCAGTCCCAGAGCTTCGCTACCTTGCACTGACTTGTTCAATTCGTCACTCTATAAATACGAATGTGGAACAAATATATATATCACACAAATTATAGTGAGTCAGTGTTATTTTGTTTGAGAGTACTGGAGAAAAGTAAGTACATTATTTTTTATTAAATTTTAGTTTTGTACTCGTAGTTAGCAAAGATAGATAAATTACGCCAGTCATGACTTTAGTTATTAGTAGCTAAATATTACATGAGTACTCCTCAATAGTTTCTTTTTGAAAGTTTTAGCAATCGGTAATATAATTACAGTGCAATCTCGGTAATTCGAGCTAATTGTTGCAAGAAGCTGTTCGAATTATGGAATGTTTTCGGAAAAATCAAAAAATATTTTTAATATACAGCTGCTGGATTTTCTGTCTTATTTAAATAATTTAATTTTGCCCACAAATGACTGATGCCATGTCCGAATCTAAAAAGAAATGTAGACAGTACAGTGTTGATTATTTGAAATTTGGCTTCATTCCATCATTGCCGGACAAACAATCGCCTATGTGCCTTTTATGCAACAAAGTTTTGGGCAATGACGCTATGAAACCATCTAAACTGCAAGATCATCTAAGAAGATACCACCCTGATAAAGCAGAGAAAGATTTGAAATACTTTCAATCACTCAAAGATAAATTTCAGAAGAGACCTACACTGGACAGAAGGTTCGCTTCGACGTCACAAAGAAATGATGATGGTTTGCGGGCGTCTTACAATATCTCGTTACTTATAGCAAAATCCGGAAAACCGCATACTATCGGAGAGAAGTTAATTTTGCCAGCCGTTGAAGAGGTTTTAAAAACTGTTTTACACAAACCTGCATCTGATATCATTAAAAGAATTCCCTTAAGCAACAATACTGTTGAAAGACGTATTGATGAAATGAGTTCTGATATTGAAAGCTTCTTATGTAATTATTTGCAAACGACCCATTTCTCTATACAACTGGACGAATCAACTTTACCTGATAATGCAGCATTATTATTGGCATATGTTCATTTTATTATGAATTAAGAAATCTACGAAGAACTGCTCTTCGCAAGAACTTTGATAACCGACACTAAAGGTGAATCAATATTTCACGTTTTGAAGGATTACTTCATTGAAAAAGAAATTCCTTTATCAAATATAATATCAGTAGCTACAGATGGAGCACCTGCCATGGTTGGACGTTATCGTGGATTTATAAGCTATTTAAAACAAAATGTGTCAGGGGTGTTAGCAATACATTGCGTCATCCATCGACAACATTTAGTTGCTAAAAATTTGAGCGTTAGATTGCATGAATCACTTCATTTAGTCATTGATGCAGTAAACCGAATCCGAAGCAACACGTTAAATACGCGATTATTTGCGCAGTTGTGTGAAGAAAATAACGAACACCTTCATCAATTACTCCTTCACACTGAAGTACGCTGGCTGTTGAAAGGCTTATGTTTGACAAGATTTTTGCACTTTTTGAGACTATTTTAGAATTTCTGGATACTAAAGATAAAATTTTAAAAGAAAATTTAATGAAGAGGAAAACAGACATCGCCTATTTAACAGATTTGTTTACAAAATTTAATATGGTTAATTTGCAATTACAAGGCGACAGTTTAGATTTGATTAAAACAAAGTCCATCTTACCAGCGTTTCTTGCCAGAGTTAAACTAATGAAGCAAAATATTGGACGGGGCGAATTTTCTCAATTCCCAATTTGTCACAGACAAGCTGCCAGGAAGACGACGTTTCAACTCACGTTCAACATTTAAATGCCCTCTATTCAGATTTTGAATCTAGGTTTGAGGATATTTTGACTATGGTAATACCACCGTGGATAATTAATCCATATGGTGACATAGAAGAAACGAATGTCATAATACAAGAGGAACTGACTGAACTAAGTACAAACGAAGAACGTAAGGTTCAGTTTAAAAACGGATATCAGCAATTCTGGCTGCAAAACAACATACCCGTTACTTATCCCGTATTATGGAATATAGCGAGGAAATTTTTAATTTCCTTTCCATCGTCATACGTAGTGGAAAAGGGGGTTCAGCGCTATTACCAATCTCCTAACGAAAAAAAGAAACAGACTGGACATCATTAGCCGAGGAGATTTAAGATTAACCCTTACAAAATTGACGCCCAATGTCGATAATTTATTATTAAAGCATCAGGATCATCCTTCTTACTAAAAATATTGACTTATTGCTTATGTTATTTTATTTCTAGTTTATTTTATGTTTATTGGTGTCTGACCAATAAATTGGGAATTAGTGCCCGCATTGATTTTTTTAAAGGACCCCCCTTTATAGAAAATATAATTCAAGTATAGGTACTCACTAAAATTCATTAATTTTTTGCCTATTTTTAGATAACTTAAACGTATAAGAAGCGGAATTTAATCAAACTAACAGTGAAATTATTGTAGAACATACGTTTATGTTATAATTAATAAACGAACTCGCTTATTGTACTATTTTAAGTAAAAAACTTTTTTTTTATTATTTTTCACTTTTTTTTATTTCATCCCTCTTATTTTTTTTCAATGCTGGCACTTATTCCCAATGCGGGCACTTATTGGTCAGACACCTGTTTATTTAATGTTACGTATATTTTACATAACAGATAGAAAATTTTATTTTGAGTAGTTTTAATTTAAATTCAATTAATAAATTTATAAATTAACATGTGTTTTTACTTTAAGTTTTTAACACTAAACTTCACTACAGTTAGAAATTTACAGGAAATCAATATCAGGTAAGTAGGGGGTCTACCCAACACGGAAAAACATGGCAAGGGGTCTACGACACAAAAAAGTTTGGGGAACTCTGTTCTAAATGAAACATCAACACTCACATAAAGGACGTTTGGCAGAACCGTGAAGGCTGCCGATGGACGCCTTGACAATCTAGCACAAGTGCATCTTCTTGGCAGCAAAATCAGCGTCGGTCGCCTGTTTCGCGCCAATTACCTTCAAACACGTGTACGGGTGCAACAGGTATTATTTGCGAGCTGTTTCGCAACGTCGGCGAGTATGGAAACCCGCGTGGACCGCGCGAATCCCGGCTGCCGGACGGAAATACCAGACGGCGATGACTGAGCGCCACGGCGAGCGTCGTACGAGACGGCGCCGCGACGCGCGGATTCGACCACGTTGCGCTGTGAGCGACGCCGACGTCGGTTGGTTCAAGATGTGGTGAAAGGTGGTATGGACATGTTTGTCCTCCGACTTGTAAAATGAACTCAAATTGTTTATTTTCCTTTTGGGTATAGGAGTTGTCAAAGAAAAACATACATGAAATGTTATAAAGCGTGTTTTTTTCGATTTATAGAACTTTACAGTATATTCAGATAAGAGATAGACCGGATGTAAACAAAAGGTTCGGGTGATTTTCACGCTAACGCCGCCGTCTCGACGTAAAACAGGAGCCCTCATTGGTCAATTCGCAATTAAATGCCTATGCCGAGCGGCAGAGCAGTCGTATCAAGGCAGAGTCACATTCAGGTTCAGACGTGTTACGTATGTCATGTGCATCATTGCAATTTGATATTTCTTTGGACGTTTTCGTTTGTTATCTTATTAAGTTGTTGAGTTTGTCGTTGTTATTGTTATACCTTGTTATTGATTGTTATTGTTATCAACTGCTTGCGCAAAATGCCCAGTAGTACAGATACTGCCGATGAAGTTGTAAACTCCTGTAGTCCACCTAGGAAACGCTCTAAAAAAAGACACCTGAGTGCCGAAATGAAAGAGGTCATTTTGAATATATATAAGATCGAGCGCGAGGAGAAGGAGGCATCAACCATCAAAGAAATTATTGTGAAGGTTTCTCACAAAGTTGGGGTGTGTCCCGCATCAGTGTTTAATGTGTTAAGACAATACATAAAAAATCACACCTTTTCTGAGTCAATGACCAGTAAACATCGCAAAAGTATTGTTAAATCATTGGATGAAGCTGACAAGCATGCGATTAGGAGGAAAGTGCATGAATTCTTCTTTAGGAATGAAATACCTACTATAGATAAAGTACTGCAGGAGGTGAATGGAGATACAACGTTGCCAAATTTCAAACGATCAACTTTCCATGCGTTACTGAAGCATTTAAATTTCAAATGGAAAATACGGGGTCGTAATAGTTTACTACTGGATAGAGAAGAAATTGTGCTATGGAGGAGGGATTATTTAACAAAAATTGGGAAATATAGAAATCAAAACAGGAAGATTTATTACCTTGATGAAACGTGGGTAAACGCAGGACACACTACAAGTAAAGTATGGGTTGATGATTCTGTAACTTCATCCAGGAGGGCCTTTCTAGATGGACTGTCCACCGGATTAAAAAATCCAGCAGGTAAATACGAGTAATAGACAACAATCGGATGTTTTTCAAACCTTGGGAACAAGGTTCTAAACATTAATTCCAGGGGGCAGATAAAACATATTACAAGTAACAAAACTTTTATAACTTTCGATAAAATGCGTGGATGTTTTATTGTCATTTTCATTTGTTAGAACTTTTTTAAGCCATGTTTTTATGTGTTTTCGATATTTCAATAACTTTTCAATATAATCTTAAAATATGTCGAATATTATAAACTTAAAAAAAGTTACTAAGTTTTATATTGTGTACCGTTCCTAATATTTCTAATCATTTTAATTCATACTTTAAGCTTTATAAAGTTATAATTTGTTAATATTAATATTTGCGCGAATTTCAGGTTCCTGATCATTCATTTTTTAACGGTTTATAACTTTAAATTAAATTGTGAAGCGCTGAGTAATCATACGACGTTCAATATTCTTTCTTTCAATATGACTAAATAATCCCAATTATAGCAATCTGATACTCATGTCTCAATGTTTTTTCGCTGAATGTGATGAAAACGTTTGAAAAAGGTTCGCTTATTGAAATAAATCTACACCAGTAGTACTTCGATTTCCAGGTAAAGGGAAAAGGCTCATTATCTGCCATATTGGCAGTGAGGATGGATTTGTTGTTGACGGTCTGTGGTGCTTTGAGTCTAAGAAAACTGGAGATTACCACGAGGAAATGAATGGCGAATCGTTTGAACAGTGGTTTTCAAAAATTTTACCGAACTTAGAGGAAAACGCAGTAATTGTGTTGGATAATGCGCCTTATCATTCTCGAAGAATAGAGAAGGTCCCAACAACGGCTTCAAGGAAAGTTGATGTTCAAAATTGGCTCCGCTCGAAAAATATCAACTTTGAAGAAGCAATGCTGAAAGTACAATTATTAAGAATTGTCAAGGATCACAAGGCGGAATATCAAAAATACGCCATTGACGAAATGGCAGCAAGTCAAAATAAAACTGTGCTCCGTTTACCTCCATACCATTGCGAGCTCAATCCCATTGAGCTCATATGGGCAGAGGTTAAAAATTATATAGCTAAGCACAATACAACTTTTAAATTTTGTGACCTCAAAGGACTTTTCAAAGAAGCACTAGAATTAATAACAGCGCAAAAATGGGAAAACTGTATTAAGCACGTGAAAGACAAAGTTGAAAAGAGAATGTGGGAACTGGACAATATTTTAGAGGAACAAGTCGAGCCATTCATTATTGACGTTGGTGCTTCAGGCAGTAGCGATGATGAAAGCTCATCAAGCTCATCTTTCCAATAAAAGATGTCGTTCATCAAATTCGGTAAGTTATAAGTAATTATAAAGCTACTGTATTTTTTAATTAATTATTGACATTTTTGAACCCATTTTGGCAAAACCTATTCAAGAATCTACTTTCTGACAATGTTCAACCATGCACATTTTTTTACGTTTTGAACGTTTTAATTTGGTTACATATTTACCTAGAAATCAAAAAATATACTAATCAATATTCTAAAAGCAATTTTAAGAGATATACGATTATTTTTAATTAAGGCTAATTTAAACGCCATTTTGAGATTATATTCGACTGTATTTCACCAAACATCAGGCGGCATCCGAAGCTGGAAATCGAAGCGAAAATTTTGAAACCCTTATGTATATTTACATCATTATATATTTCTTACCCCACCCCCACATGATCCTATATCCATCACCAATCGTATACACATCGAATTGTGCTAATTTACTACAAAGTTACGCAAAGCAGCATCTACTATCTAAAATATGTACTGCGTGACTCTTAATACGTCCCTGCCGAATGTTACAGCGTTCGATGATCACGTGGTCTTGTTTATGTCCGGTCTATCTCTTATCTGAATATACTGTAGTTGGCATTATTTTTGAACATGGCGACCGATTTGACAGCTGTCAAGTGATTTATTTTCAGTTTGGTTTGGCGATTCATCATAAATAGACTCAAGCCTGAAAAACGCTTGCAAATTGTGCAGTTTTATTTCGAAAGTAATGGTTCTGTGCGTAAAACGTATCGCGCACTACGTCCTTTTTATCGTCGACAAAATCGTCCATCAGAGCAGTTAATTAGATTAACCATGGAACGTTTTCACACCACGTTTACTCTAATTGATAACTCGCATCCCCAGAGATGCCGTACGGTGCGTACAGAAGAAGCTATTGCTACTGTAGAGCGTAGCATTGAGGAAGCCCCTTATAAGTCCATCCGCCATCAAGCACAGGAATTAGATCTGTGTCCATCACCTTTATGGAAGATTTTGCGGAAGAGTCTTGGTTTGCGTGCTTACAAAATCCAACTCGAGTAATAATTGGAGTCAAACGACCAGTGTTGCCAGAGCGAAGTTTAAAATATCCGTCACACGTATCGCAAAATTCCGCTACATGCCGCTACGGTCTAAAAATTTAAGGGGGGGAGGCTTAAAATAAACAACAAATATATTTTTTACATATTTACTTTTTTTAAACACTGTCTATAAACCCTACTAAAAATACAAACAGTAACATAATATAATTGCAATTTTTCGTAAAAACATAAAAAGTATACCTCTAAAAAAACAAAACTGTCTTTGGTTTAGAATTAGGAACTAATAAAAAAATAAAAACTATCACCAATATCTTAATCTTAATAGAAAAAAAAACAAAAAATAAGGACAAAGAAGAAGCGGAAACGTGGAAATGCCTACGTTTGCCTATTTTATTCACAGTCAAAATCAGAAATTACTTCTTCTTCAGCTTGTTCTTCCTTATTTACATCATATATATTCTTTTTATATTTGTTTAAATGATTCTCATTAAAACTATAGGATAAGCAGCACTGTTTTTTTGATTCCAAGTCTAATTTAATTGTAAGTAGTAATAATAATAATAATAATAATATTTATTTACTCAATGTACAAAGATAACAAACAATATGAGTAAATAAATATAAAATCAAAACAGGCCCAATAGAAGGCATCGCCTGTACATGGACCAATAATTTAAGTTGAAACTGTAGAATGCAAATGACAAAAAAGGACAAAAATTAGTTACAGTAGATTATGTATTTAGTTGATGTTCGTATTTATGAGTTTATGAATTTCAGTCCTAGATATAGAATGTAGCCACTTTTTTAAATTTCTTTTGAAACAATTTCCGAAACGTAAATCTTTTAAGTCTTTAGGTATAATTTCATAAAATTTAGGCGCTAAATAGAGATATGATCGCTGCATTATAGATTTATGCGGTTGAGGAACTACTGTGTCACGAATTTTGTACCTGGTATAATGATTATGTTTAATTTTTTGGTCGGTGTTTACAAATTTATGGTAGTGAGTGATACTGTGTAAGAAATAAAGCTGTCTTATAACATACATTCGAACATCTGCATATAATTTTTCACTGCCGCATTTGGAGTGAAGCTAGTCCTCAAGTCTATGTCGAAACACCGTTACATCCAGAAAAACTGACTGTTTGGTGCGCTTTCTGGGCTGGTGGAATCATTGGTCAGTACTGCTTCAAAAACGATGATGGCCAGAATGTTACAGTCAATGGTGATCGGTATAGAGCCATGATTACTAACTTTTTCATTCCTGAATTGAACAATCATGATGTCCAGGAGCTGTGATTCCAACAAGACGGCGCAACATGTCACACTGCTCGTGCTACAATCGATGTATTGAAAGACACGTTCGGTGACCGCCTCATTTCACGTTTTGGACCTGTGAATTGGCCTCCAAGATCTTGTGAGTTAACACCGCTAGACTATTTCTGTGGGGCTATGTAAAATCATTGGTCTATGCGGATAAGCGACAGACGCTTGACCATTTGGAAGCCAACATTCGCCATGTTATACGGCCACAAATGTTGGAAAAAGTCATCGAAAATTGGACGTCCAGATTGGACTACATCCGAGCCGGCCGTGGCAGTCATACGCCAGAAATCATATTTAAAATGTAATGCCACAAGATTATCTTATCGCCCTGTATAGGGCACTGATAGCAGCTGTCCCGTAATTTCGATCCGGAAAATTTTTTAGACGAAAAGCGAGATAACCGAGGTATTTAATATGGAAACTGACCCAGGGGGGTCAGGAAATGGCGCTTCCACCATGGCAATGGAGATGGAGTCTAAGGAGCAGACCATAGAGGAGCTGAGAGCCGAATTGGAGATGGTTCGACAGGAGCTGTCAAAAAAGGACGATGATAAGAAGACCAATGAAAGATTGATGATGATCATCGAAGCCCAGCAGCGGACAATTACCGACCTAACAGTTAAATTAGACCTCCTACTGAAAACCCAGGTACCTTCCCATCTAAATATTACAAATTCTTCCCAAACACTTCCCAAAAATCCCAGTAAAGACAAAGCTGTCAATCTTAAGAGACCGTTAAATAATTCAAGCGATCTTTCCACAGACGACGATACACTCCCTGACGGTTTTACCAAGGTTAAGCCCCGTAAAACGCGACGAAACAAGACCGACACGACAGGCTTTCCTCCTCTCCCTTCACCAAAATCGCAGTCTGAAACATCTCATTCAACTGCAAGCGACTCGAATAAACAGCCTGTGCCTAATCTATCGGTTACTTCCACGCCTTCGACATCTCAGGTACCAGAAGATACGATTGCACAGTCCCCACGCAAGGTACGTGTTACCCCCATCGTTCTTCGTGATGCTTCGAGATGGCGAGGCGTAAATCACAAGTTTATTTCCTTGGGCATCAAATTCGAACGCGCGGTTGCCGTCGATGCAGGAATCAGGATAATTCCCAAGTCCGAGGATGATTACCGCAGGATTATTCGTCTCTTCAGGGAGGAAGAGGTGCCCCATCACACTTTCCCTCTACCCTCCGAGAGGAACATTCATGCTGTAATCAGAGGAGTACATGCGACACTTTCGGAAATTGAGATCAAGGAAGAGTTGCAACAGAGGGGATATTCCCCCCTGCACATAATTCGCCTGAAACGCGGTGGCGGCGTGCCCATGCCTTTGGTGGTAGTCATACTGCCCAAGATAGAAAAATCTCAGCAGCTGTTCAACGAACACGAGCTGCTAGGTTTGGCTATCCGAGTCGAAGTTCAAAAGAACTCAAGACTCATCGGGCAGTGTCACCGCTGCCAAAAATATGGACATGCGCAATCTTACTGCACTGCACCACCTAAATGTCTAAAATGTGCCTCTGACCACATGACCCACTTATGCCCTCAAACAGAACAAGAGGAACGAAAGTGCGCGAACTGTGGAGGGGGGCATCCAGCGAATAGCCGAACTTGCAGATTTGCCCCTAAGAAAAATCTGCAAGTGATAGCGCAAAGGCGCAATGTAAGTTACGCGGATGCAGCTAGGGATGCAACCCGGGCTGCCCCCTCTGTGGGATCTTCTGCGAACACGCAAAATGTGGACCTGGCAACCGCGCTAAGGTCCTTACAGCAGATCATAGGTCCTCTGATTAGCGCAACACAGGCTTTGCAGGCGATCTTTCCTGCAAATGGCTAGGTACAATCGACGACAGCCTGCATTTATCAAAATTCTTTTTTGGAATTGTTTGGGTCTAAGGGACATTCCCAAAAGACGGGAATTTCATCAAGCTCTTGTGGACGAAAGTATAGATGTGGCCTTGCTGCAGGAAACATTACTTAATCCGGGAGATCGTCTAGCTTTCCCGAATTACGATGTTATCCGGGCTGATAGATTAACTGGACGGGGTGGCGGCTTGGCAGTGCTAGTGAAACGCGGTATTGACTACCATAGAAGCACAAACGCTGACATGCAGAGCATCGAAGCGGCTTCCGTGGTGGTCAATATGACGGGAGGTGTGCCGTTAAAAATCACATCGGTGTATGTCAGGTGTGGTAACAGGCTGCAAGAGGCGGATCTGGAAGTCCTTTTAGACTACTCGGGTCCACTTATTGTGGCAGGGGACTTCAACTGCAAACATCGAGCATGGCATTCCAGGTTGAATTCCACCAGTGGGATCCGACTGTACAACCATGTGATACGAAATGGCTACCTCATACATAGTACTGAGGAGCCGACGCACCACCCATTTAATCACCTTCAGGCACCTGATGTTCTTGATTTGGCATTATCCAAAAACTGTAGCTACAACATCACTTCTCGAATCATGTATGACATCTCAAGCGATCATCTTCCCGTCGTTTTGGAAGTGGCTAATGAGCAGATCTTGGGGGATGAAATCCCTCCAAGGAAACGCATTGATTGGGAGCTATACAAGTCGCTCCTCAAAGAGTTCCCCAATATACCGATCATAGATGATGAGAACGGTATAGATGCGGCTCAAGCAGAGTGGACAAGTTTTGTTCAGCAAACTCTGCAGCGTGCAGCTGTACTTCCCGTGCAGCGACACGGCAGACCTTTTCTGCCAGCAGACATTCGTCAGAAAATTTCTGATAAAAGAGCTGCAATTAAGCAAGCGAAAAGGTCTTGTCATCCTGATGACATTCGCAGAGCGACGAATCTTGTTCATGAAGTAAGAAATGCTCTTCATGAATTCCGCAATGAGCAATGGAACGACTTTCTGGCGGGGATGCTTGACTCAAGCATTCCTCTCTGGAAGGTGGCGAAGTCGCTCAAAAACGGAAAGCGTGAACAAATCCCACACATTCACGGTCCTGGAGGCATTGTCTTCAGGACAGAGGAGAAGGTTGAGGTTTTCGCCGATGCCATGGAAAGACAGTTCTCTCCCAACTATGATCTTGATAATGACCTCGACGAGGAGCAACACATCGTAAGATCTGTCAGGAGATATTTTAGGGCCAACGGCGTCAGTGACAGTCGCGCATTCGTTGGTGATTTTTCTTCATCAGAAGATTCTTCTTCAGAAGCTTCTTCAACCGAAGATTTGCTTAGCACATCAGCGGTATCTCCTGAGATCCCGCATTGCACACCAGCAGAGATTCAAGGTCATATTAAAGACCTTAAAGTGCGTAAAGCACCTGGGGAGGATCAAATCACTAATAAGGCGCTGAAGCTGCTTTCGCGGAAGTCCTTAACTTATCTCGTGGCAATAGTCAATGCCATGCTCAGGATCCAGTACTTCCCATCCGCGTGGAAGACCGCTGAAGTTATAATGATTCCAAAGAAGGTGGGTTCGATATTTCCCCAGGATTATCGTCCCATTAGCCTGCTGTCAGCTGCGTCTAAGCTCGCTGAAAAGGTGATTCTACGTCACCTTGAGAATTTCTCGTCAGATCACCATGTGATTCCTGACGTGCAATTCGGTTTTCGGTCTGAACATAGTACGGAGCTACAGGCGGTTAGGCTGGTGGAACGTGTAACCAGAGGATTCACCCTTAACGAAAGTACTGGCATCTTGCTTTTGGATGTCTCAAAAGCATTTGACAAGGTGTGGCACGCGGGCCTCTTGTATAAACTAATCCAAAAGGGCTTCCCTTTTTGGCTTCTAAAACTACTGAAATCCTTCCTTGAAGGTAGGAAATTTCGGATCAAAATTGACAATGTGCTGTCGACAACACGGCTGATTACAGCCGGCGTCCCTCAGGGTTCGGTCCTTGGACCTATCCTTTACTCACTGTACATCCATGACGTCCCTAGTCCCAGCAACTGTGAAGTCTATCTCTATGCTGACGATACTGCATTGGTGGCTCAGTCGTGGTCTGGTGACCTAGTCCATGACAGGCTGCAAAGTGCGGTGGAAGAAGTATTAGATTGGGCGGATCGGTGGCTAATTAAAATAAACCATTCGAAAACGCAGGCAATCTACTGTACAAAAAGACGTCGCGGCGTTCCGTCTGAAGTTTCAATGAATGGACTTCGTATACCATGGGAATCCTCCGCTAAGTATCTCGGTGTCATTCTGGACAAAGGGATGACTTGGCGGAACCATATGGAAGCGCTAAAAACTAAATTCCAAATTACGTTTCGGCAGCTTTACCCATTATTATGTAAACGGTCAAAATTAAGTTTGATTAACAAGATTCGACTCTATAAGGTGGTCATAAGACCAGCAATGACATACGCATGTGCGGCTTGGTGTTTTATTGCTAAAACACACATGCGAAGTCTGCAGGTTCTGCAAAGCAGGACGTTGCGCACTATTGCTGATGCCCCATGGTATGTCTCTAACGAAACTCTACATAGAGACCTCGATGTCCCTTACCTAAAGGACTACATTAAGCAACAGGCGCAGCGGCGCTATAGCCTAGCGGAATCGCACAGCAACCCTCTGTTGCGTGATTCAGTGGACTACACAGTCGAGCAAGTTCGCAAGCACAAAAGGCCGCGGCTCGCACTGTAATCAAAATTAACTCGTGAACTTAGAACAACCAAAATTGGAGCATTTTTACACAATCTTTAGAAAAAATCAAATATTTTTAGACCATATCAAAATCTGTGAAGCGATTTTAACAATGCCTAAACGCTGCATATCCTAAAAGATTCTCTTCTTCCCCTTTGCTCTCGTTCTTCCTTCTCTCCTTTCCTTCCCCTTTTTTCCTTAAAATTGTCTGGTTTCTGGGTTACCAGACCTGACAGACTTACAAACTGACACTGTGACTCAAGAGCTAAGGTCCCACGGACCGCTCTGACAACCAACGATGACTTGAAGATTATCTTTCGAATAAAAAAATGCATGTCAATCGAATAATCCATCGTTGTTTTGTCCCGGCAAGAAGAATGGGCCAATACCCGCCTTGTATTCAGTTATCAATAACATCTTTGAGGTCCATGTCCCTAAATGTAAAAATAAAATGTTTTCGTATCCCCCATGGTTCAATCGTGAAATTGTATCAAGAAGAAGGACATAGCAAGAAGGAACTGGAAACGTGACGGTACTAAGTTTTCTTATGATCAGTTCAGTAATTTTAGGAAGCTCATTAAGAACCAGATCAGTGTTGCCTACTCCGCTTACGTCCAATCTGTTGAGGATGCCATTGTCAATGATCCTAGCAAATTCTGGTCATTTGCCCAGATCAAAAAACAGCAATCTAGAATCCTCCCAAGGATGACGCTTAGTAGATGTCTTATGGGGATTCGGTCTCAAAACTTCCAAAATCCGCCACCAGAGGCGCTGGCGTCGCGCGCCATTGACAGGTTGTTGGACGGAATCTGTATTCATGAGTTGGGGATTCCGCCGCTAGATGGCGCTGTCAAACCAAACGGAATCTGTGTGTCATTGGACACCTGTCATGCGTCATTGGGCATCTCACGCATAGATGGCGTTACACGTCATCTGTCATACGTCATTGGACACCTGTCATTGATGGGTTGAGCATCTCGCGCATAAATGGCGTAGATTTGTTTGGCGGTGTACAAACCTAACGGAATCTATGCGTCATTGGACA